ATTCAGATCCAGATCCAGGGTCCTGATCCAGAATCCTGATCCAGAATCCAGATCCAGAGTCCAGAGTCCAGAATCCAGAGTCCAGAATCCAGATCCAGAGTCCAGAATCCAGATCCAGAATCCAGATCCAGAGTCTTGATCAGCCTCTTTCTAAAGGTTTCTAAAGTTGCTCTGCTTCCAGCTTTTCAGAGGAATGTGTTTTTCTCTGTTCAGCCTCTGAACTCTGAGTCATTCAGGCAGAAAAAAGGCCCCTAACTCAAGGGATGAGCCAGCATAAATTTAGCATGTTTTATAGTAAAAAGCTATATATTTAGCACATCGTAGGCTTGAAAAAAAAGTAAATATTGCACATTTTAGAATAAAAACTGTAAACATTGCACATTGTAGGGTGTAAAATTCCACGTTAAAGAAAAAAAAAACTTTAAATATTCCACATTGTAGGGTAAAAAATAATTTTTTTGCACATTTTAGGCACAAAAAGGTAAATTTGGCATGTTTTATGCTAAAAAAAACTGTAAGTTTTGCACGTTTTATTGTAAAAAAACTGTAAATTTAGCACATTGTAGGCTTGAAAAAAAGTAAATATCGCACATTTTAGGATAAATACTGTAAATATTGCACATTGTAGGGTAAAAATTGTATACATTTTGCACATTTTAGGCTAAAAAAAGTAAATTTAGCACGTTTTATGGTAAAAACAGTCAATTTAGCACATTGTAAGGCGACAAAAGTGTAAGTATTGCAGCGTCTGAGTGCAGAAACATCTGGGCACATGTGCTGAGCCCTGCCGTGTGCGTTTGTGCAGATGAACCTGGCTCTGGTCCACGACCGGCTGCAGGTCAAGTCCGTGTGGGAGCAGCGCATCCAGAGCGAGGAGCAGCACGCCCACAGCGAGCAGCAGCGCAGGAGCCGCAGCGCCCTCCACAGGTCAGGGGGGGGCGGGGGGCCGGGGGGGGGTTCCTGTAGGTGAAAAATGAAGGGTTTTAACTCATTAGCTGCAAATATTCCCCTAAAGCTGAATAATGTTAGTGAAAAATGTAGGTTTTAACATGAAAAATGAAGGTTTATAACTCATTAGCTGGAAATATTCTCCTAAATCTGAATAATGTTGGTGAAAAATGTAGGTTTTAACATTAAAATTGAAGGTTTATAACTCATTAGCTGGAAATATTCCCCTAAATCTGAATAATGTTGGTGAAAAATGTAGGTTTTAACATGAAAAATGAAGGTTTATAACTCGTTAGCTGCAAATATTCTCCTAAATCTGAATAATGTTGGTGAAAAATGTAGGTTTTAACATTAAAATTGAAGGTTTATAACTCATTAGCTGGAAATATTCCCCTAAATCTGAATAATTTTGGTGAAAAATTTAGGTTTTAACATTAAAATTGAAGGTTTATAACTCATTAGCTGGAAATATTCCCCTAAATCTGAATAATGTTGGTGAAAAATGTAGGTTTTAACATGAAAAATGAAGGTTTATAACTCATTAGCTGGAAATATTCTCCTAAATCTGAATAATGTTGGTGAAAAATGTAGGTTTTAACATGAAAAATGAAGGTTTATAACTCATTAGCTGGAACTATTCCCCTAAATCTGAATATTTTCGGTGAAAAATGTAGCTTTTAACGTGAAAAATGAAGGTTTATAACTCATTACCTGGAATATTCCCCTAAATCTGAATAATGTTAGTGAAAAATGTAGGTTTTAACATGAAAAATGAAGGTTTATAACTCATTAGCTGGAAATATTCCCCTAAATCAGAATATTTTTGGTGAAAAATGTAGGTTTTAACATGAAAAATGAAGGTTTATAACTCATTAGCTGGAAATATTCTCCTGAATCTGAATAATGTTGGTGAAAAATGTAGGTTTTAACATGAAAAATGAAGGTTTATAACTCATTAGCTGCAAATATTCCCCTAAATCTGAATAATGTTGGTGAAAAATGTAGGTTTTAACATGAAAAATGAAGGTTTATAACTCATTAGCTGGAACTATTCCCCTAAATCTGAATATTTTTGGTGAAAAATGTAGGTTTTAACGTGAAAAATTAAGGATTTTAACCCGTTAGCTGGAACTATTCCCCTAAATCTGTATAATTTGGGTAAGAAATTAAAGTTTAAACCCATTAACTGGAACTAGTTCCCCTAAATCTGAATAATGTTGGGGAAAAATTAAGGTTTTAAGTCATTAGCTGGAAATATTTCCTTTAAATCTGAATAATGTCGGTGAGAAATTAAGGTTTTACGTTAAAAATGAAGGTTTTTTAACTCGTCAAGTAGAAATAGCCCCTTAAATCTAGAAAATGTTTGTGAAAAATTAAGGTTTTAACAACTAATTAACTGGAAATATTTCCCTTAAATCTGAAAAACGTGGGTGAGAAATTAAGTTTTCAACTCATTAACTGGAAACATTCCCCTAAATTGTGATGACAGGCCCCTCGTTCTGCTGTTGGGGGGGGGGCCGCCCCCGCGGCCGCATGTGGAGCCGACATGTGAGCAGGCCCTCTAAAATCAGCCTCAGCCCTGCTAGCTAACGAGACCCCCGGCGCCCCCCCCCCCCGGCGCCCCCCGTCTGCCCACCGGGGTCAGCAGAAGGAGCGCTCCCTCCTGGACTTAAGGTCAGACTTTTCCTGGAAGGGCTTCACACGTCTTCCTCCTCCGGCGCCATCCGGCTGGAGCCCAGAGGCTCGTTAGCGTTAGCGTTAGCGTTAGCATTAGCCGCTAACCAAGGGGGGCCAGAGGCAGGACGGAGGCCTCTGGCGGCCATTTTGTGCCCTCTGGCTGCTCAATTCTCCATTTTACTCCAGTTTCCCCTCTTGAAAAGGTAGTTACTTCCAGAGGGTCCACAGGATTGATTCTTTCTTTTCTCTTTTGTTTGAAAGTTGTTGAATCAACAATAGTTGTTTTAGTAGGTGAAAAACCTTTAAACATTAAATTAGCAAAATGATCCCTGAAACGAAATATACCACAAGATCTGCAGGGCTCAGAAACACTGAGGATCTCTGCTCAAACAGTAAGGGTCGGGTTCCCTTTTTGGGTTTTTTTTGTTTTTAATGGGTCTAAATTGAGTTTTTGGGGGGTTTAAATTGGGTTTGTATATTTTTTTATGGGTCTAAATGGGACTTTTAAAGGTTTTTAAGGGTTTTCTATGGGGTTTTTATGGGTTTTTGAAGGTTTTTATGGGGTTTTTATAGGTTTTTCATGGGTTTAAATGGGGTTTTATGGGTTAACATGAGGTTTTTAAGGGTTTTTTATGGGTCTGAATGGGGTTGTTTTTGGTTTTCAAGGGTTTTTATGGGTTTTTAGACTGAATGATATAAAAGCAGGATGAGAGCTGCATGAAAGATTTCATCAGTAAGAAATAGTTTCAAAAACACTTTGGAGAATAATCCTTATGATCAGAAGTCCTACATGAGAGGTTTTACCCTCTTGATTTCCTGTTTTGATGGACGAGGATCCTCCTGTTTTCTCTGTGACCTTTGACCTCTGGGCCTCATAGCAGACGCTATCAGACACTACTGTTTAAATCTAAAGGAAAATGCTTTTAGACGTTTGATCCAAACGGGCCAATGGGAGCAGGGCTGCTGCCCCATGTGACCTGAGAAAGGAGAGGATACTGTGTGGGATCCATTTAGATGGAGGAACATCTGAGTGGGGAATTCTGTAGAAAATCACTGAAAAACCAGCTTTTTAGGGCTTTAGATGAAGGAGAATCATTGTTGTGTTCAAAGAGCTCAGA